GTCCTAAAGTCAGATCCTAATCACCTGTCACCTCCCTTACCACACTCAACAAGTCAGATTCCCTTCCTTCATATACAATGCTCACCAGCTAGCCTCCTGTTAAGAAAAACTAACATAACATAACATACCTCAACATGTGCCAAACAAAAGTTAAGTTCTTGGGCCTGGGATTATTTTCCCATAATCTTACGCCACTCTGCCTTACAGACTCATCCTCTATCACATCTTCTCTATACTCCAGTTAATGTGAACTGGTTCCTGAACATGTATGTCACCACACACACCCTTCTCCTCCACCTGAAACAGCCTCCTAATGTCACCTATCAAAATCCTAGACTTTTATGACCCAGCTCAAAGGCAGCTCCTTCCTGAAACCTAACCCTGCTGTAACCCCAGCTGGAAGTCATCTCTCCTTTGAATCTCTAAAGCATTTGGTTCCTACCTCCTTCATTTATGTGGTATTTAACCACATAGTCTTTGGGCCTCTCCTCAGAAGTATATTTCATTTTGTTCATGGGTGTTTCCTTCTGAGTGTCTCAGAATAAAAGTTGTCTTCCATTTCTTTTTCTCCAAGTCCAGTACTGTGTAAACAGCCCTGCGCACATTAGGTTCTTCAAAATGCTCCTGATGATTTCACAGCAATTCATCAAAAAGAAGTTCCCCTCCATTGGGAGAAGAATCTATAAATCATTGACAGTCCCAAATAGACCATTTATAAAAAGTCTCCTGGACTGAGGCTCAACTAAAATTCAGAAAGCTACATCTCTTTATAGGTCAGAGCCACTTATAGAAAAAATATCAGGGGCACCTGGCTGGTTCAGTTGGTTAAACATCTGACTCTTGATTTTGGCTTAGGTCATGATTCCAGTGTCATGGGATCAAGCCCTGCATCAAGTTCTGAACTAAATGTGGAGCCTGCTTAAGATTCTCCCTCTCTCTCTCTCTGTCTCTCACCTCTGCTGTTTGTGCTTTCTAAATAAAATTTAAAGAAAAAAAATTTTAAAGAAAAGAGGGGGTGCCTATGTGGCTAAGTCTGTTGAGTGTCTGAGTTAGTCTCAGATCATGATCTCACAGCTTGTGGGTTCAAGCCCCACGCTGGGCTCTGTGCTGACAGCTCAGAGCCTGGAGCCTGCTTCAGATTCTGTGTCTCCCTTTCTCTCTGCCCCTCTCCGGCTCATTCTCTCTCCTTCTCTCTCTCAAAAATAAATAAACATTAAGAAAAAATGTTTTTAAATATACCGAAAACTTCAATCCAAACTCTGGTATATAGCAGGACCCCTTAAAATGCCTCAGCAGACAGTGGCCAGTCTGAGACAGAGCTAGAGAAACCCAAGAAGAGAGCAGTTGCCCTCTGAAATAAGCAAATCAAATGTGTCTCTGTGGACAAAGGTTTTAAAGAAAATTTCTTGGCTGATCTGCTTTTAATTTAAAGGAAAAAGGGAACTCTATGCAGTTCTTCAAGTAGTTTAACTATAAAGCTGTGTGATCCCAGGTATATTCATTTCTAACAGCATTAGAAATGAGCAATACTTACTGTACTGTGTCAAATAGTGCCACCTACCCCCACTCACATCCACCTGGTATCTCAGAATGTGACTTATTTGGAAGGAATCTTTGCGGAGTTCAGATGAGGTCATAATGGATTGGGGCAGGGGTGGGGTGAGGAGGCCTACATCCAATGACTGGTATTTTTATAAGAGAAAGAGATAAAGGTTCAGACCAGGAAACACACAGGAAAGGAGGCCATGTGACAAAAGAGACAGAGATTGAGTGATGTAGCCATAAGCCAAGGAGCACCAAGAATTGCCGGGGACCTCCAGAAGCTAGGACCAGTTAAGAAGAAATTCCCCCCTAGAACCTTCAAAGGTAGATCAGCCCTCTTTTAGCTTACAAAACAGCGAGAATACAGTTCTGCTGTATTAAGCCACACAGTTGTGGTAATTTGTGACAGCAGCCCTAGGAAATAAATACTGTTTGATTTAATCAATCAAGATTAATTTGATTGGGCTGTGAGGAAGAAAACAAACAGATATAAAAGACATTTACATGAAAACCTGCAGGATTTGGTGGCTGAGTGAGCAGCCTGTTTGATTTAATCAATCAAGAAACGTATAGACCACCTACTGTGTGCAGGATACAGGTAGAGGGATTACAATGGTGCCTCAAAGCAGAAAGGAAGGACAACCCCTACTGAGGTGAACCTGGAGATGGCGTTCTTAAAGAATGACTTGGAGTTGGATCTTGACTCTGATCAGGATCAACAAGGTAAAGAGTATTCCAGGCAACAGTAATAGCATATGCTAAGGTTCAGAAACATAAAAGGGAACACTAAGTTTAAGGAATATTAAAAAAAGATTCAGTGGGACTGAAATGTATGCTCCACATGGGCAGGAAGCAGGAGATGTAGCAGAAAAATAGAGTAGAGCCACAAAGGAAGAGGCATATAAGCCACATCCAGGACTTTGGACTTTATTTTATAGACAGAGACTAACATGATCAAATTTGTTCCCAGGGAAGTTCACTCTGGCAGCAGTATGGAGGAGAGCCTGGGGCTGGGGGGGTGGGGGCGGGGGAATGACCAATAGTATAGCGATGTGTCAACAATCCAAGAAAAACAGAATGTGCCTAAAATGAGGAAATGGCAATGATAGACAACAGAATCAGGCACTTTCTGAAGAAAAACTGACAATCTTTGGTGGTTGACTGAATATGGAGGGAAGGAGAATAGTAGAGTATGATCCCCAGGTTTTCTAGCTTGGGAAAATCAGTTACTACAATTAACCAAGGTTGTCATTGGAAGGGAGGGAGGTGGGGACTGGCAGTAAACAGTGAGCTCTGAAGTACACCCATGAACATCTAGTATTCAGGAGCCAGCTGGAAGCAAGAACACCAAATGGTGGTTAGGTGAAGTCCTGTAAGAGGATAGGATCACCCACAGGAATGAAAAAAGAGGGCTGAGAACAGTCTTGGGGAAAACCAATGTTTAAAAACAGGTGGAGAAACAGTGGGAAAGACTTGGAGGAAGTGAGAGGAAAACCAGAAGAAAATGATGGTTCTGAAACCAAAAAACAAAAGGTGTGAGAAAGATTGATCACATCAACAGAAAATACCAAGGGGTCAAAAAATTAAAGCTGAAAAAATGCGTGCAATGGATTCATTATAGGTTAAGCCACTGGCAACTTTGATATAATCAGTTCTGATGGAGCAGAAGCAGTGCCCTGCATTCCAAAGATAATAGTAACTTATGAAGATTTTTTTGAGGTATGACGGTGAAGGGAACAAAGGTGACTATACAGTTTCCTCCTAATGCTCACTCAGCCACCAAATCCTGCAGGTTTTCATGTAAATGTCTTTTATATCTGTTTGTTTCCTTCCTCACAGCCCAAAGTCTGTTTCAGAAACTTCATGGAGGAGGCTGTCCCATGCCTCCCCATGCAGGGGTTGCTGGGATGAGCGGTGGTTAGATAGGCAAGGAATGTAGGGGACAGCAATGCATTAGGAAAAAGACACAAAGGCACAACAGTGGATAGTGCAAAGTGTCTTCAGCTTTACCTTGTGCAGACACACCAGCCTTGCTCAGTTTATTTTGGGGAACACTAAGGAAAGACTCTCAAGTTGGGTTGAGGGCACAGTGCAGAGGACCCTGAATGCCAGGTTATGGAGTATGGACTGGATGCAGTGGGTACTGCAGTGGGTACTGAACTAACAGGAGTAAATGTTAGTAAAAGTATTTTAGGAAGTGAGTACAGGCTTTTTAGAAAGACTAACAAGAGAGCCCGTAGTAAGCATCTGTCCCCTCTCATCTGAAACTTAATTCCTTGAACTTTAAATTCTTTCATGACCAAATCTGTGACTTCCTAAGACTTCCTGGGCCAATACCCAGTTCCCAGGGATCTCCTCTTGTGAACTTCTACATTGTTTACTAACCCACAGTCTCTTGGTTAACTAATCTAACTCAACTCCAAGTTTGTAGGTGAGTAGGAGCTGGGTTTTCTTTCACCTTGGTTTCTAAATTTTTTTTAAATGTTTTTATTTGTTTCAGAGAGAGAGAGAGGGAGAGAGAGAGAGACAGTGTGCGCAGGGGAGGGTCAGAGAGAGAGGGAGACACAGAATCTGAAACAGGCTCCAGGCTCTGAGCTGCCTGTCAGCACAGAGCCTGACGTGGGGCTCGAACTCATGAACCGTGAGATCATGACCTGAGCTGAAGTCAGACGTTTAACCGGCTGAGCAACCCAGGCACCCCTCAACTTAGTTTCAACACCTCATAGTAACAGCTCAATAAATATCTGCCAAGTTAAAGATTAGTCTGAAAACATAGTTTTTACACATAAATGTGTAAAAGAAAATCTCCCCAAACATAAGCCATCTCAGAGTCCATGATGTGGATTATCTAAGCCTGTGTCTCCCAATTAAATAATATCCACTTTTTTAAAATGGCCAGACATATACCAGATAATGGTGGGATAGCAGATTGAAATAAAAATGTTGATACCTATAGTTTAACCTAATTTTTCATCAGCAGGTGGCTGGCTTATCTACTGTACTCCACAGGAAAGTCACCCTCTTGGAGTTTATACCGTGGGTGGTAAATGTATCTTCCCTAAAGATGGAGAACTTGGGTAGAATGAGTGGAGGAGCCCACTCTAACTGGTACTTGAAGTATGGGATATACTTGGCTGGGTTCATTCATTTCCTTATTCACACAACATTTACTCAGCTTCTCCAAAGGCCAATCAAGTTAGCGGGTGCTGGAATGACAGATCTTCCAAGACTTAGTGCTAGACAGTGCTGCTGCGGCAAATCTGCTCCACACAGAGAGGAAACAGTTGGTTACAGGCTTTATTTACATATAATAGAGCCTTAGGGTTAAAAAAAAAAAAAAAGCAGTAGTTTTTCACAGGACAATTCTATTTATAAGGTTAATCGTGTCCATCTGATCTGAGGCCGCGGTCGGAAGAACTAAGTTTAGACAAAGAAAGCCAGCTAGGTCAGCTCCTCACCCTTGCTCTTTCGAGGCTCCTATTCGGAGGATGGGCACAGGGACTGCAGGGACATCTGCTCAGGCAGCTTCTCCATGGGCTGGGTCCAATCTCTGGTGCTGCTCCAAGGCCAAGACTTCCCCTAAAATTTCTTCAGAGCACGACACAACGGATGGGCAGTCACTTCAGGAGAGGGAGGAGAGGGCAGATGCAGGGAAAACGGCAGGTGAATCTTTCCCAGGAAAGACTCCCAATTCACTCTCCTCAGGCCGGCCGGGCCCTGGCATGGGGGCGCGGCCAGGCCTGCGACCCCAACCCCGCACCATGAGCATCCCTTCAGTCCGAGCCCCCCTCCGCAGTCCGAGCTTCTCCCAGCCACGGAGCAGACCCGAAGCCCTAGCCCGGAGCCCCGACACTCACTAGCTCAACCGCTCCGCAACAGCGGCCACTTCGGCCCCCTGGGCAGGACTGGAAACTCGGGCTCCACGGCGCGCACTTCCGGGTCCCGTCTAGGCAGCTCGGAGGTCTCCTCTCGATCGTGGGTTCTCCAGAGCCGCTTGGGAGCTGGGCTCGGATAGGCGTGGGGATGGGGCCTCCTTTGGCGTTCGTCTTTCTCCAAGGAGGGATTGAGGGAGGATGGGACAGACCTCTAGTTGCATTTCATCGCCCAAGTGGACCTAGGGCCTAAATTGGTTGCCTTCTTTTTCGTCGCCACTGTCCCGTGTGCACCCCATTTGTCTCCTCCCTTGACCCCTGCCGTTTTGCCACCCATCTTCACCTCCCTTTTTCCAAATCACGAGTTGGGGACCCTGCTGGCCCCGAATTTCCTATCTATGCCCGCAGTCAAGCCTGTCCTTTCCCTTTGTGGCTTCAACTTGATCAGTGTTCCCCCTTCACGACTCCAGCGCCTCCCAACTGTGCCTTGAGTGTATGGGTATGACGAACATATCGGTACCAATGGGCTAAAAGAGGAAGAAAAGCCTTAGAAAGAGGGTCAACATTCAAAGAGCTTACAGTGCCCAGACGAGTTTGCCAGGGGCATATTTGATATGTTGAAGCAGTAAAAATGTTAGGGAAATTAGTTCATGATAAGGGGAGTTTCCTGCTAAACTCCGAAATAGCAGTTACCAGCTATGGAGTAACTTAAATTGACCTTATCTTCATAACAATCCATGAAGTTCATACTTTTTATAATCTTAGTGCCAGGAACGGCATACTCACGTCTTTCTGCAAGTAAAGGGAGCATTTAGAATCCTGGCCTGTTCAAACCAAAGCCTGGAGTCAAAACTATGCTCAGGAAGGACAATGGTTTGACAGAGTGGAGATTGTAACATGAGAAAGTGCAGGAAAGAAACAGACAGACCCTGTCATTATGCCCAAGTTGTAAATTTATAAACAAGAATGGAATACAAATATAAGAGGTTAACCATTTTCTAAAAGTGAAGAGTGAATGAGAAGCACTAGTAAAATGAAAAATTCCAGTATTTCTTTGACTTGTCCAGTGCACCATCTGCTTGAAATCATCCTTCAGGTCTGGTTCTTAAACACTCGTTCCTCCATGCGCTGGAGTTTTGAAGGGAGTGTAAGATGTGACGCCATTAGGTTACAAATGTTAGCAAGAGACAGATGTCATAGTTTGATGACTCCAGTAAGGAGTGCCTAATGGGAGGCAATTCCTACCAGTTTAGGATTCCTGATGATCTCTCAAGTTCACATTTAAGTTCTCCAAACCCAGGGTACTCCCCTGGACAATGCTAGTCCTGCACTGCTAAATGCCTGCTCCTTAGTTCCCTCTTTTATCGATTTTATGCTAAACATTTATATTTTCACTGGTTTTTATACTGGTGTTCATATTAATTTTGGCTCTTAATATATGACCAGTACCTTTTACATTATTTTAATTTTCATGCTAATATTAACCACTGTATAGACAAGGAAACTAGAGGCTAAGTAAAATTTTCAAAGCCACACAACTAGTAAACAACAAAGTTTAGGTATGTCTAATTCCAAAGTCATTGCTTTGGTAACTAATCTGTTTTAGTCTTAATGGTTTGATTAGTGTATGCTAACTGTACGCACAGGCTATTACTGAATATCCTAGCACTGGGCAACAGTATTACTGAATGAATGAAAAGAATGGTTGAGGTTACATTTTCAGATGTGGAAATCCCATTGTGCTTTCATGTTATGACACCTCAGGGACCTCTTTGGAACTTCATTCTTAAATTTCCTGTTGCCTACATCCCACTTCCTAGGGTGAGGCATTCCTCCAGAGAGCTTAATTACCTTGAAGAGGTCATACTCCTTCATCTGAGGCCTTCTGACATGCTCTTTTGCCTGAAATCCTCTCCTTGTTCCTCTTCCAGTGGTCTCCATCTGTCCAGTCTACCTCTATCTACTCTGCTTAAGCCAAAAACATAGGAATCAAACTTGATTTTCCCATTATCCACTTTGCTCCACTGCTATAATTTACCCAGAAGTAATGGTAAATCTAAGAATACATGTCCATCAATCAACAAGTTCCAGTGAGCAGAAAAAAGCATATTCTGGGCACTGAGAAATGTAAATGTAAATGTAGTAATAGGTGTGGGGGTAGCTTGACAGGAGGTAAGAATTTGAGAGCTCTAACCTGTGGCCTGTCATTGTCAAAATTATCTAAGACTTTCAGGGAGTAGGGTCTCTGACTAGCTCCCTAAAGGTACTGTCTCCTAGTATCCCAGATAGCTCTGGGAGCATTCAGGATCAATTGCAACTGATAATAGTCAATCACTGAGGATGTAACAGGGAATGAAGAGCTACTAAGGAAAAATTCTCCAGGTTCTGGGATGTGTCTAAAACCAACATCATGATGATGGACAGTTTGGGAGTCAGGCCTGACTTTGAGCTATGAACTTGCTGACTAACCCTAACAGGTTCTTCAACCTCTCTACAGTTCCTCTGTAATACAGAGCTAGTTACTTGCAAAGTTGTTGTGAGGGTTAAGTTGGAATATGAATGTTCATACACATGCATGTAGGTAGGTGGACAGACAGAAGACAGATAAAATTAGTTGTACCTTAACTATTAGATTTCCTCTCTTCTCTCCCCAATCTTCAAGATTAAAAGACTAAGAACACAAACTCATACTGGACTGATTAAATACTGCAAGTTTAAAGAGACAAGTTCATTCTCCTCAAGGATTACTTTGGTTTCTCATTTTTTTAAATGTTTTACTTATTTAAAGAAACAGATTCTGTCCAGCTCTCTGAAACCTCAATCTATTTATGTGCCAACAACATTCCAGTCAAAAAACCCTTAAGACCCTAAACATTCAGACTTTATTCCAGAAGTCTGTGGAAGAGCAAGCTTCGTCATCAGTATGAAGGAGTGATCCAATCTTGTTGTGAAGCAGGTTTCTGGAAGGAAGTGAGTTGCAGCCAGGAAGGTGACTCCAAGATTTCCAAATGCTTCTTTCTGGCTGAGGCGTTTATATATTTTTTGAAACAGAATCTGAGTATCAAACACACCTTTATTCAAGTGGAAGTACAAAAGCACATTCCTATATCAAATGCATACATGTGATGTTTTACATATTTTGCTATTTAGGGATTAATCTGTTTCATAATCACCAGAAGTGACCACTGGTCTCTGTACATAAGGGCATAGATATTCACAGACAAGGAAAAATAACATGCATTTTTCATTTGCTTATACATTTAAATCAATTCGTTATAGTTCTCTACTTTGCCCTGATAAGATCCTATGCTTGCTGATGGCTAAGCAGCAAAATATAGTGGTAGAACTATCCTAGAGGTTAATAAGCAATAAATTTTTATATATTTGTTGAGGATTCCTAGTGAATATTATAACATCTGAACTATGAAGGCCTCACTTGCTAGAATGACAAAAAGAACGTTAAATAACACTTGTCTTATTCATAAAATGTTATGAAGCTTAAGATGGAAAAATATAATAAAATGCTTTGACATCATCTAAAGAATCATGAATTCTTGGCGAGGTGTTGAAAGTAACCCTGAACTCTGGACACCCCGACATCTGTGATCACTTTTATCAATCAAAAAATACAAGTTCTTTTATATGGTCTGTGGACTCTAGTATAATACAGAAAACGTGATGATGAATAAACATATACACAAAGGCCCCACACTTCAAATACTGTCTTGCATTGATGAGGGAGACTGGGGGGTGGAGAGGGAGTGTGTGAAAATCCAAACAGATAAAGAAGCAAGCGTAGTAATTAAAATTTTACCAGGAACAGACCTGCCACTCTCTTAAATACTCTCTCTCTAGAGATATTACCTAAGAACAGCAATATCTTCTTTGAAAAGTTATATTCTCTTATGAAGTTCTCAGACTTTTTTGTATATTTTCTTTATATATTGCTCTATCAAAAGGAGACCTGACCATTTTGCTGGCTTTCAACAGAGTATATAATTCTAAACTTTGACATGCAGATTAGGCACTGAATGAAAGTAGCTAGACCACCAGGCATGTTGTTGGATCCCTGATGTTCTGATCATCTCTTTTATTAGAGGGCCATGGATGCAGACAAGGCAGCTAAGAACCTGGTGTCATTTGAAAGTGTTTATTAGCTGCCTGTCCCAAATACAGGGGAGATAAAATCCTTCAAACTCATGGATGGACAGGATGTGGAAATCCAATTCTTTTTAAAGGAAGATGCTTCAACTTTAGGAAAGAAGACACTAGAACAGCAACATCAAGTAGGGACGGCATACCTGGTAAAAAGCTTAACACTAGAAAACCATCATTTGAAGGTGCTAAGAGAATGGAGAAATCAACAGGAATCCAAGTGCTGTAGCTGGAAAGGAATAGGAAGTAGGATGCTCAGGAAACAGCAGACCTAAGAGTCTGTTCTGGAAAAAACTTGGGCTGAGAACATCAGAAAAAGCTAAACGAGCTACTTTCCAGAAGTTAATATGTTTTTACATTGGTATATTAACAATATCTTAGAGAAGCTGTAACAGGAACTGATTTCAGGGAAAATAAAATTGTTTATAGGCCATATTTTAAAAAAAAGTTTAAATGAGTTCCATAAATAAAGTTTATACACCTACTTAAAACACCTAATAAAATAATGCCATGAGGAAACAGCACTGCATTCATCAAGTCACTCATCAGACTATATTCAGCAATGAAAAAGATCAGGGCTATATATTAACAATTTTATATAAAATTTTCTCTCCAATATTTTGATGTGGAGTAAAGTCTGAAATATGGTGGTAAATTTTTCCATTTGCATTAGATCAGATTCTAGTCTGGACATTCAAAGGATAAAAAAAGACTTGAACTCTCATTGAAAGATTTGTCGTATTTCCTACACTCAAATGGCTTCTCCTGGGTATGGATTCTTTGATGCTGTATGAGGGGTGGAATATGACTGAATCTTCCCACATGCATACATGTTTTTTACATTCATAGGCTTTCTGCATGGAATGAATTTGATGCTAACAAGGTAGTTTCTCTGAAGGCTATTTCACATTCATTACAGTGATGGAATTTTATTCCAGTATGAATTCCCCAATGGTGACTAAGGTATGAAAACAGCATGAAGCATTTACCACATTCAATGTTTTGGTAGGTTTTCTCATTGGTATGGGTTTGCAGATGTTGATGACGTTTTCCTACATTCATCACATTCAGAGGGTTTCTCTCTGGTGTGGATT